GTGCTGCTGAGGCACGGCGGGTCTGGGGAAGCAAGCTGGCTGCTCACTCTGGCCCTGGGAAGCAACGCTTGGATGTTAGCCTGTGGGGAGTCCATGGGCAAGAAGCCCATTGATTTGAAGATCACCACTCACATGAAAGCATCTATATCACCAGCACCGTGTCCCGGGGAGGGTGGGATGCTGTTGGGCAAGACCAGCCAGGACTCCTGCCCAGGGGCAACTATCACCTGAGCTGGAGCAAGAAGAGCTGCAGGAGCACAGTCTGAACAAACAGACAGCAGTGCAGAGCCACCTGGGAGCCACGCCGGTTTATCATCCCCTCCTGCCACTTGCCCATGGCTTCTACAAGCACTCCTTTCTCCAGACAGCACTGAGCCAGTCAGGAAAGTACAGATTTCAAAGCAAACAAATGAAAACCTAAAACACAAAGAAACCCACCAACAAACAAAAATACAATTTTACCTAGAAAGTGACCTTGGGGATGAGGGGAAAGGTTTTTGCAGCCTGCCAAACCCGTGAACTGCTGCTGTGGCTACAAGGCCCCAAAAGCAGCAGAGCTGGGAGGCACCTGCCCTCCTGGATGGGTACCAGGAGGCAGCACTGGTTCTGCTGCCCAAATGCAGCCACCAAGGTGGTACGAGGGTGGCAGGAGACCAGGCAAGAGGTTGGGACTTGCAAGTGTCCATGAAAAATGCCCAGGAGCAAAGGGGTACCACATCTTATACTCTGAGCATGCAGCACAGAGCCCTTTTGGTTTGCCTGCAGGCTCCCAGCCAGGTGTGACACCCCACCCCTCTGCTGTGGGAGCCCACAGTCACCTCCTCCTCCTGCCAGCGGTGGGACGGTGGGGCACAGTGGCATGGTTGGACGGGGACCCTCTGCCGAATGCTGGTGGATAAAGCAGAGACTCTAGGCCGAGGTGGCAGAAGCAGAATCACGCTGGAATGCTAAGTGGGCGGCAAGCTCAGTGCTGGCAGCTGGAAAAGTCATCCCTCCTCACAGCCAGCAGCTGTCTCCATCACAGGTGCCTGAAGCAAGGCCCAGGTGATGCCAGGAGATTTGAGCAAAGCCCAAACATTGTGTCTTGCAGAGGGGCAGTGGACATGCCACCAGCCCCCCAGGGGCAAGACCCAGGAAGGACTCCTGGCCTTAATTCAAGAGAAGGAACTTCCACAGGTATCTGGAAACACCTTGCAAAAGCAAGTCTCTGGTCAACGAAGGAACTAAACGGCATTTCATCCTCAGCCAAGTAATTGGAGGCCAAGATAATTACAGAATGGTCCCTGTAGCCATAGACCAAGCACAGATCCTGGTCAACACAGTGAATCTCCCGGCTTTGTCAGTAAAGAACTGAGCCTGTGCCCATCACTATGTGCTCAGAAACAAACTGACTCGGTACTTTCTGAGAGAAGATAAAAAGTGCCATTGGCAGAGGTGTTGGTGTAATGCATGCAGTCATCTGAAAGGCATTTGACATGACAGGGCCCAACGTTTTCTTTAATAAATTACAATGAACAAAATCACCACGGCGCACGCTGAAGTGATTAGAGAGAAGCCAAGTTCCCGGGACAAGAACCACCCCGGGGTGGGCAGAGGTCCAGAGCAGGGCATCAGCCCTTGCAGAGAGCAGGATAAGACTACTGGCTGCCATCCCAGAAGCCAGACAAGAAAAGGCCTTATACTATTTCAGATTTTTTTTTTCAGTCTGGAAATAGGAAGAAGAAGAAATTGTCACTGCAAGGCTCTCCAGGTACACAATGACCGGGAACCACCGAAGGGAAGCAGTCCCTAGCACAGACAGATCCAGCTTTGCCTGGAGCAACACTGTACTTTGGGAGACATAAAGGATCCCCTGAGGATGCAGGTCCCTCTTCCAGAGGGAAAAGCAGCTTTCTGAGCCTGTGACCCTAGAAAATACGTGAGCTCTTGGAAAAGCAGCTTGGCCGGAAGGACCAATAACGATTTTCTGATGTGAGAAGAGGAAAGCTGCAGGAAATCACAGAAAGGCTTCTGGAGCTGATTGCTCAGGCCAGGAAGAAAGTTGAGCAATTGCAGAGAGCTCTGTGAGGGGTCAGAGAACAAGTAAAGCTAAGGTAATGAGTTGGACAAGGAGCCAGAGCTGCTTAAATGAAGAACACTTGCACAGAAGACAAGCTGCCAGCTGCACAGCCCAGGCAGCAGTTGGAGGGGCTAATGCTAAGGCCAGACACTGGCAAGCAGGCAGGGGCCAAAGGACCAAGAAACCTGGTGGCACGCAGACCTAAGCACCTCATCTTCTGTGGCAGGGCCAGGACAAATGGTCCTTCCTCTCCCCTTGCAGCACAGCCCAGGAGATGGCCCCTCCCCATCCCCTGTGCCCCAGCTTATCCCACAACCACCGCCCGACCATCTCTGCCTGAAGAACGCTTGTCCTCCCCATGGAGCTGCCTGCCTTCCCGGCAGGGGGTACTCTGGTGGCACCAAGGGGCTTGGCAGCGCACCCCAGCCCTGCTGCTGTCCCCAGGAGAGAGCGGAGGGGAGAACCTGTGCCACAGCCACTTGCGTCTGCTGCTGCTGCTGCTGCAGGAGCTGCTGGAGAAGCTGCATTTGGTGGTGGGCAGAGAGCGGTGTTCCCAGGTCAGGCAGCTGGGCTGAGGAGGGCAGCAGCATCTTGGGCGATGCTGTCAGGATATCTTCAGGGTGGAGGCAGCCCTGCAAAACACCGACATTGAAAGTGTGATCCCGTGCCCCTTGCCACCGAGATTCGCCAGGTGTCCATGGGTTGCAGCACAGAGCAGCTCCCCCAGACACCCAGGGAAGAGGCTGCTGCATTCAAAGCAAATGCACGCTTTGCTGGAGATGCTGAAAAAACTTCGAAGGCAGTATTTTTTCAGTTTTGACAGCAGCCCAAATACTTTTGTAGAAAATTCCTCAAAAAGGCTGATGCTTCCCATGGGAATTTCCACTGTATCAAAACTCTTTTTTTTTTTTTGTGTCTTTTTTCCTTCTCTTTGGTGGAAAAAAAAATCCCTATCAGCTCTGTCCCAGATACTTTCCATGTGGCTGCACATAGCTGAGCCTCAGCAGAGTGCCCTGGGCCCCAAGCCAAAGGGCAGCCCTGCGGCGGCAGATGGCTTTGATCCAGAAGCCGGGGAATGCTGCACAATCCCTCCTGATCCCAGGGCCCCTGGGACGCACATCACAGCCGTGGGGACGTGGCCGCCTCGTGCCTCGAGAGCACAGGGCAGGGACCCACGCACCTTGGCATCGGTGTAGGCGCTCGCCTCCTTGCCCACGGCGTCGAGGTCGGTCACGCCACGGCTGAAGTCGAGGATGTCGGCTCCGGGAGGCGGCAGCTCCCCAGCGTCGATGTCCGTCTCCTCGGCCGAGGCGGCCGCCCTCTCCGCACCGGTGAGGCGGCAGGCTGCGGGAACGGCGTTAGGGCAGAGCACGGACAGCTCGGAGGTGCACCCACAGGGTGGTAAGCGATGCCCACCCATCAGTTCCCACTGTCCCCGTGTCACACACCCTCTAGCTCAGGGGGGAAAAGCAAGCACCGAGTGACACAGCCCTTCCTGCTGCCACCCGGGACAGGCTTGTGGCTGAAAACACACCCAGGCCCAGCATGCTAAATCTGGGGAGTAGTGGTCAAAACCCCTGATGTGAGAGAAATAGGCCACCGAGAGCAGAAGAGAAAGCTAAAGAAAGGTAAACAAGAGATCAAGGCCGGGGGGGAAAAACACCCGGATGCTCAGAAATCCCCAGGGAACTGCCTATCATGGCAGGGACATTGTGCAGAGGAAAAACAAACAATGACCAGTTCGGGACGGTCACCACGACAGCGCTGGCTGCAAAGGCAGTCAGGAAACGGGCACGGCCCAGGCTGCTCCCGACGGGATGGAGGGGACCCAGCACCCGGCACGGGGCTGCAGCACAGGCAGGA